AAGCAATTCTTATTGAAAGTCATTTTTATTACTATTACCACTGGTTCGGAAAAAAACTTCGGTCCTGGGAAAAACCAGCAAGAAACCCAGCGAGACTTTTTTTGTAAGTAAATTTTTACAATTAAACACAGGTTGTACAAATTACTAAAGCAAAGGAACGCACCCGTGTTATATGTTTCTAAAATGCAAATTTATTTAAAAACTAGCTGTTCACTGCGACTTCGCCCGCGTGTAATTTAGGGTTTTAATTATTTTACGCGGAACCCTAATTCTTTTTCTAAAATAAATGTAGCCTAAGTTACTCCTTAGGTGTCAGGTATCCGTCGGTGAAAGTCCCGTCAAAATCGGCCCAGCCATTTCGGAGATTAACCGGAACAGACAGACAGATCGACAGACAGACAGATAAAACTTTTAAAAGTTTTGTATTTGTTATAACTATCGTATATACAACTTCGACCAACTTCGTCCTTTGTACTTTCATTTGCATTTAGTAAAAAACTGTTATTTTGACATTACAGAAAGACACTTCAATTTTATTTATTTGTATAGATAGAACTCCATAAGGCAATCGCTCAATATTAAAAAAAAAAAACAAAGTTCTATTAATTTTCCTGCATTAATTCCCGCTCTTTTCATTTAAAACGATGGATCTAAACCGTGAAAATTTGCGCGCTATGATAGATTATGATTTTAAATTTGGTTTAACCGAATCTGTTTTGCGTAATTACGTCCAATTTGTAACTGAACATTAGATTATTTGCAATACTTTTGGCAATACCTAATTTACTTAAAAGAGTTTTAAAATGTAAAAAGTATAAGAAATCTTACGGCAGTCAAACCCGCACAAATTAAAATAATAATGCACACTTTCGTTAACCGTGCACACATTTTGACTGATCTATGAATATCAAACGAATGTCCCTTCTATGTATATTCGTTATTGTGCTTATGTATTATTTTAATAACAAGCTATTTTGAAGTGCAGTGATGCCGGATTTATTATATTATTAATTATACAGATGTAAAAGTGATATGGATAAAATTGTTTAGAGCTCAACAATGCACAAACTAATATGTCTAAAATCTCTATTCATATAAATAAAATTATTTTTTGTTACATACTGAACAAAACGATTTTTTTTTAAATTTAATGATGTGTAAATACTGAACATTTTTTTTCTACAATCGTACTACTGCAGGAAGCCAGGAATTGAAAATATTTCAGTTTGAACGAAATTCACATCAGACCAGGCTTTAGGATATAAGACCTTAATTGGCAAATCGTTTCAACAGTTACTGGCATGAATAGAATCGTAAAAGAACGCAATTGTATGTTGATAAGAGATTTGTGAATAAAATACACATCAGACTAGGCTGTATGGTATAAGACCTTTACCTGCATTAATTGGCAAAACGTAACAGGCCCAATTCCCCCCCCCCCCCCCAACAACATGGTAGCGCAATTACACGATAGACTACCCCTGGAGAATCCCTCGCAGAGCATCCACGACCATGTTATTCCGATCCTGAGCGTGAGTGCTCAGGCTGCCCCGCGTATTCTGGGGGGGGGGGGGGCAAAATTCCGCCCAAAAACATAACTGCTCGGGGCAAACTGAGCAAGAACACCAAGGCGACCCCTGCCACGCTATCCGTGAATTTCTGCAACATCAGGGGACTTCACTCTAACCTAAACGCCGTCCACTACCATCTCGAGACGGCGAAGCCGGCCTTGCTCTTTCTGACCGAGACGCAGGTTTCCTCTCCGGCTGATATTTCGTATCTCTCCTACCCGGGGTACAAATTGGAGCATTCCTTTGTGCCTCGGGCTGGAGTTTGCGTGTATGTCAGAGAGGACATCTGTTCTCGACGCCTCGGCAGTCTTGAAGGTTCGGACCTGTCCATCCTTTGGCTACGCGTAGACAGCGACGACCATCCGCGCGTCTACGGGTGCCTCTATAGGTCCCATAGCAGTAATGCCGAAACAGACCGACTCATCGACCACGTCCAAATGGCTACAGATTCCTTGCTAGAACAGGTACCATCCGAAGAGATCGTGATCCTTGGCGATTTTAACGCCCACCATGCCCAATGGCTCGGTTCACGTTTAACCGATCATGCGGGGAGATCTGTTTATGACTTTGCCTTGGCATATGGTCTCACACAACTGGTTACTTCGCCTACGCGGTTTCCAGATGTGGAGGATCATACACCTTCCCTGTTGGACCTTCTGATGACCTCTCATCCGGACGGATATCAGGTTTCCGTCGATGCCCCTCTTGGCTCTTCGGACCATTGTCTGATCCGGAGTATGGTGCCACTCACGCTCCCCTCGCGGTTGCGTTCTGCAGGTTGCCGCCGTGTTTGGCATTACAGGTCGGCGGATTGGGACGGAATGCGGTCTTTTTTTGCATCCTACCCATGGGGGCGGGTTTGCTTCTCGCCGGATGATCCCAGCACTGTTGCTGAATCTGTCACTGATGTGGTGCTACAGGGAATGGAACTATTTATTCCATCATCTGTGGTACCCATCGGAAGCAGATCTCAGCCTTGGTTTGGTCGCTCCTGTAAAACTACATTACGCAGTAAGCAGGAGTGTTATCAAGCCTGGGCTGCGGCTTCGGCGACTCGGGATGTAAACACCAACACACTTAAAAAGAAGTATAACTTCGGCTTCAGGGCCTTCAAAAGAGTTATTGCCAAGACAAAGTCAGAGCACATAGGCAGAATTGGCGAGAAACTAGTTCGCCTTCCTTCGGGAACCCGTGAATTCTGATCTCTCGCCAAGGCTGTCCAAGGGAATTTCTGTAAGCCATCACTACCATCTCTGCACAGGAAGGATGACTCACTGGCCCAAGACGCAAAAGACAAAGCCGACTTTTTAGGCTCCCTTCTTGCGTCCAACTCGACTCTTGATGACGGGGGGAAAACACCGCCGACCATCCCGCGGTGTGAGTGCTCCATGCCGGATGTGCTGCTCTCACAGCGCTCGGTTTGCAAAACACTCCCAAAGCTCTCCCTGGACATCCAGAAGTCGAGTGGGCCTGACGGAATCCCCCCAATTGTGCTGAGGACGTGTGCTCCGGAGTTGGCACCGGTCCTAACGCGTCTTTTCCGATACTCCTACTCCCAAGGCGTAGTCCCGAAATCATGGAAGATAGTTTTTGTCCACCCGATCCCTAAAAAAGGTGACCGCTCAGACCCATCCAACTACAGGCCTATCGCGATCACCTCCTTGTTCTCCAAAATAATGGAATCCATTATTAACTGCCAGCTCATCCGGTACCTTGTGAATCACCAGATGAATAGTGACCGCCAATACGGTTTTCGTCGGGGTCGATCAGCTGGTGATCTTCTGGTCTACCTGACCCATAGATGGGCGGAGGCAGTAGAGTCCAAGGGGGAGGCGTTGGCCGTTAGTCTGGACATTGCGAAGGCCTTCGATCGGGTTTGGCACAAAGCGCTTCTTTCGAAGCTCCCTTCCTATGGGCTTCCCGAAAAATTGTGCAATTGGATCACCAGCTTCCTTGCAGATCGGAACATCAAGGTCGTTGTAGACGGTGCATGCTCTGACTACAAGCCTATTAACGCTGGTATTCCACAAGGCTGTGTGCTATCACCAACGCTGTTTCTTCTGCATATCAATGATATATTGCTAACTGGTAACATTCATTGCTATGCGGATGACAGCACTGGTGATGCTCTATACACCGGCCGTGCCAATATTTCTCGGGGAAACGTCGCCGAGTACCGGAACAATTTTGTGTCTGAAGTCGAGTCTTTGCTGAAAAAAGTTTTGGATTGGGGGCGACTAAATCTAGTCCAGTTTAATCCTCAGAAGACACAAGTTTCCGCGTTTACCGCCAAAAAGAACCCCTTTATCGTATCTCCTCACTTTCAAGGCACTCCCCTTCTTGCCTCAGCCAGTATCGGTATCCTCGGAGTCGACATATCGAGTGACGTGCAGTTTCGTGGTCACTTGGAAGAGAAGGCCAAATTGGCCTCTAAAATGCTTGGCGTGCTCAGCAGAGCGGGACAATATTTCATGCCGGCATACCGCCTACAACTTTACAAGGCACAGGTTCGGCCTCACATGGAATACTGTTCCCATCTCTGGGCAGGGGCTCCCCAGTGCCAGCTCCCTCCACTTGACCGCATCCAACGCAGAGCGGCTCGAATCTTCGACGACCGAGCCCTTTCCGATCGGCTCGATTCATTAGCACTGCGAAGAGATGTTGCATCCCTTTGCATTTTCTTTCGCATCTACCATGGGGAGTGCTCTGAGGATTTGTTCGGATTAATCCCAGCCTCCAAATTTCACGAACGCACATCGCGGCAGAACTTCCGATACCATCCACACCATCTGGATGATTGGCGGTCCACCACTGTGCGATTTAGAAGATGTTTTCTTCCTCGCACGACTTCCTTGTGGAATCGATTACCATCAGCGATTTTTCCGGACCGATACGACTTAGGGACCTTCTAGAAAAGAGCGTTCTCCTTTTTAAAAGGCCGGCATCGCATCTGCAATTCCCTCCCTGGTGTTGCAGTTGTTCATGGGCGGCGGTAGTCACTTACCATCAGGTGAGCCGCATGCTCGTTTGCCTCCTCCAACTACGGTAACCAAAGATTTAGAATATACTGGCGTACCTAAAACATCTTGAACACGGTCCATCTTGACGTACGTCCGCTGAAGGCCGCCGTGCTGAACGTAGCATACACGCTATTGTGCGCGCATCCAGCGTGCTAGATTAGCTTATCTATGGTGCTAGATCACAGCACACAATATTCTCTACTGAGAGTGCTAGATGAAACATTACTTTAGTAGCGAAAGCACGCAATTTTTTTGTAATATTGTATGTGAAACCAGTGTTGTCAAAACGCCAAAGAATGGGAATCCTGCTTGTGTGATATTTAGAACACCAAAAACATAAAAAAAAGGAAGTCTCTGGATGAAAACAATCTATAAAAGCCGTGGCCAGTATACAAAAAGTAATAATATAATGCAAGATTTAAATGTGATAGATTTCCACAAATATCTCAGATTCGACAACGAAACACTACAAATGTTGTTAAAGATGGTGGGCCCTGAAATTCAACGTAGTGACACACCTATGCGACAAAATATTTCAGCGAAAGAACGTATACTTGTAACTCTACGATATCTTGGAACGGAAGAAAGTTATCCTGAACTTATGTTTCAGGATAACTTTCTTTCGTTTGCTTACTTTTACTTAACACAATCGATAAGTCAAATTATTCCTGCGACTTCCTTTGCAATTTACAAAGCATTAAAAAGATTTTCTCAAGGTAATTGAATACGAGAACTAATTTAAAAATAATGTTTCCGTGGCATAGTAATGTATGTAACATTACTTTGCCATTATGCCAGTATTCACCGGCGTGGAAGTGTTTTGTTTGGAAGATGAAGCAGTAGAACTTATTTTAACAGAATGTTTTAACAGAAACTGACGTGGAAATGTATTGTTTGGAAGATAAAGGTGTAACTCTTATTTTAAAAAAAGTTTTCAATGGCAAAGTAATGTACGTAACCGGCGTGGAAGTGTATGTGGAGTTGTGAAATAGTGCACATTCAGTGTTAAGAGTATGACTCTGTCTGTGGCGAAGTAATGTACGGAATATGTTTGGAAGAGTATGTGGAGTTATGAGATGGTGGACGTTCAGTGTTTGAAGATGGAGTGTGAATTTGTGGCGATGTAATGTTTTCAATTGGCGTGAAGATGTGAGATGGTGGACGTTCAGTTATTGGAGATCGATTATGACTCTGTGGCGAAGTAATATATGAAGTTTTTGTGCAAGATGTGAAGTGTCGTGACGATGTGATGATTTGGGAACTTTAATTTAGTTGACTAGTTCTAGCCAGATACAAAACGTCTGACACCAATTTTTCAGAAAAGATTTTCTGATCGTTTGAAAGACTTTGTAGTTGCTACCCTAAATATAAACCAAACATATTGTCATGAGTAATGTCTGTATTATCTGAGACCAAAAGTTTTTTGCAACATTGACCAATTGCTCTTGAATTTTAGTATTTTCTCGTTTCTTTCTTCTAATTTCATTTGAAGTTTCTCCAGTTACCTAAAAGAAAAAAATGTTATTACTACTTGCGTAGTTGTTTAAGTTCCCATCATCTCCTGAGTAATGGAAACAAATCGCAGAGGACTTTTAAAGTAAATGGCAGTTTTCCCACTGCTTAGGTGCAATGAACGGGAAGCATATTCGTATCACGAAACCTTAGTCAAATGGTTCTTCTAATTACTACAATTATAAAAATACTTTAGTATCATACTTTTGATTTGAATATCTTAACTAACTATATCTATCTTAATATATCTTAAATAAATAAAATAAATAAAATAAAATAAATAACTCGATCCGCGATCGTTACTAAGTAAACACCGTAACCGTTTGCTCCGCGAGAGTTACTCTAAAAATAGTGTAAAAACTTAGTGGCTACTGTCAAACTGGTATTTACTTGAAGCTAGTTTACAATCCTCTTTAGTGCTGCAATCCATTTTCTAATCTCGTCTATAATTAGGGAACTGTGACAAAAATTCATTCCTAAATAATTGCAACAGTGACCTACCTCAACAAGTGTGCGCTCAGTTTGTCTATCACAGTATTCTACTAAGGTCAATGACCGCCTGCCGGCGAAGAAGCTCGAAGACACCCGAAAAGGCGACGAATCGACACGTAACGTCGGCGCTGACTTGAATTCGCTACGGGGATTGCTGCGGACTACGAAACTTGTTCATCCCGCCTACTAATCTACGACTCCTGCTACATACATAAAATAAAATGATTTGTTTGGCCTGTCATAAAATTACCCGACCTGAGGAACAGTTGAGTTGCTCTGCGTGCAAGGGATGCTATCATTACAAATGTTACAACATATCATCCGCATATTACAAAGAAAATTTTCCAGCTTTAAAAAGGAATTGGAAATGCCATTCCTGCAATCGGATCACGCGACGCAAGGAGGACAACACACCGGTTCGTAGACAACTCTCTCCACTATCCACTACTGCTGCGGATGACACGAACTTGTCATGCGGCGAGGTTCTGGGGACCTCCGAGGGGCAGGTAAATGACAGCCAATTAGATAGTAATTCTACTACGACCTCCAACCCTCCCGCTGCGGCAATAATATACGACCAGTTTGGGGCGCTGCTTGATTGTAAGCTATCCAAGATAAGTATTGATATAAAAGAGGACATTACCCACCTCCGTGAATGCCTCGACGCCTTGAACACCAAACTGGCCGACTATGATCGGCGAATAAAGTCTCTTGAGTCCGTAGAAAAAGAAAATAATATCCTTAAGGCCACCGTTGCCGATCTGCAGTCTCGTTTAAACAGCCAAGAACAGATTGCCTTAGGAAATGAGCTGGAAATATCGGGTCTGGAAGAAACACCAAATGAAAACCCAACTCACTTGGTATTGACTGTCGCCGCTAAACTGGGCATTGAGCTTCAGGACATGGACTTAAATTACGCACACCGAGCTGGTCCCAAAAACCAAAACAAAAAGACTAACGTGGGTGGGAACCGTAAACTTCAGCGTTCCTTGGTGGTTGCTTTCACCCGCCGAGCTAAACGTGATGAATTTCTTAAACACGCGAAAGCTAGAAAAAATCTAAAGAGTAAGGACATTCTGAATCATGGGCCTGAAAATATGATCTACGTAAATGAGCGTCTTACTGGTGAAAATCGACGGTTATTTCGTACTACGAGAGCATTCGCAGTCGAACAAGGTTACAGGTTTTGCTGGCTGCGAAACGGATGCATATTTATTAGGAAAGGGGATGTCAAGGACGGGAGCCCCGCAATCCGTATTAAGTCCGAAAGTGATCTCAGCCGCCTGCTCTCTGCCCAAACCAAACCGGATACGGCAGCCACTTAATAAACGTTACCTGAGCCTCAAGAGCCTAGTCATTAATATTTTGTCACTACTTTGTAGTTCATATGGTCAGTATTTTTCTTATGTACTACATATCATAAATTTAAACTCAACTCTTTATCATTGTAAGCGCAATCACACATACATTCTAACACACTTACACATATTCTTCCCCAATGTACTTTCCTCAAAATTTGTCATGGTTAATTGTACCCCTTCTTCTGTTTATATGGCACTCTACACTTTAATGCCAAAATACCCCAATCAATTTTACACGATCTTCCCATGGCTTTCCTAGGATTGTTAGATGCCATAGATAATTCATCTGAGATAAAGTGCCATAACATAACCGTCCCAGAGGAGTGTAAAGACGTTCTGTCTAGATTTTCATTGAGGATTTTAAGCATGAACATAAGAAGCATGCGTAAAAACTTTGATACCCTTCTAGTAACCCTAAAAAGAATAGATCTTGATTTTGATGTTATTGTATTCAGCGAGTGCTGGCTAGATGAGTATGCGACGGTTTCTCTATTGCAAGGCTTTACATCTTTTCACTCTAGGAAGTGTATTAATAGGGCAGGAGGAGTCGCTATCTACATAAAAATAGGTGGACAGCCAATTTTTCCGAGATGAACGTTGACGAGGGTAATTGTATTTTCGCAGAAGTTGCAAATCATTTCTCAGTAGTTGCCGCTTACAGGTCACCTAGTTACACTAACCCAGAAACATTTATTCACTCTCTTGACGCTAACTTAAAAACGGTAAGTCCCTCTCCTTGTCTTATTTTCGCTGGAGACATAAATGTAAATATTATTGGGTCCGCAGGTGACAAAAATTTGCACACGGAGTACTTAGATGTATTAGCAGAGTATGGGCTTTCCCCCGCCATAACCAAACCAACTCGGGTCAAAACCTGCATAGATCACATTTTTGTACCCGTAAGATCTAATGCGGAGTCCGTAGTGTATCTCAATGATGTTACTGACCATGATATCACTATGGCAGGCATAATGTTAAAGACACAAAAACCAAAAAGACCAAAACTTAATCGATCAAGAGTTATAGTTGACATAGACTCAATAAGATCAGAGCTGGAGGGAACGAACTGGTCCCCAGTAATGAACTGTGGCTCTCTTGACGAGTCTGTGAGTCATTTCACTAAGACGGTATCAGAGACAATATTGAGGTACTCGAAAACTTGTGTAATAAGCCGCTCTAGAACCATCTTACACCCTTGGATGACTCCTGGTCTAATCAGATGCTCTAAGCACCGTGACAAGCTTCATATTGAATATCGTAAGGACCCAAACAACCTTACTAAAAAACTTGTATATACGCGTTATAGAAATTTTTACATAGATCTAATCAGAAAACTAAAATGTGATTACAACAATAAAGAAATAAATAAAAATAAATGTGCTCCAAAAAAACTCTGGGGTACTATTAACCGCATAACTGGCAAAGACACTAGTTCAAGTTCTCCTCTGGCTCTCATCAACTCAAGACCCTCTGTAAAGGAATCTCTTGATGTTTGCAACTCTTACTTTGCCTCTGTAGGTAATAAGCTAGCATACTCTATCATGAAGAAATTAAATGAGAATCAGGAGTCCCTTGCCGGAAAAGTTCACATTCCTGTTCAACCCGTTGGTTCATTTTTCATGGATCCTACAGACGAACAGGAAGTTTTGAGTCTCATCCGGTCTCTTGATTCTGGCAGTGCCCCGGGTATGGTCGGCATCACTAACAAACTTTTAAAATCAGTAGCCCACGCAATTGCGGAGCCCTTAGCTGCGATATTTAACTTAAGTATCTCGTCAGGAGTCTTTCCAAGCCAGTGGAAAGTAGCGGCAGTTATCCCCATACACAAGAATGGAGCTAAGGACGACCCTTGTAATTATCGTCCCATATCACTGCTGGGTAATTACTCTAAGCTCCTGGAACGCGTTGTTCATAAGCGGCTGACTAACTATCTTGAAAAGAATAGTATACTCTCGGACCGTCAGTTTGGTTTCCGTCAGGGAAAATCGACTGAGGATGCAGTTAGTCTTATCACAGATATGGTTGTAACTCATCTCGATCAGGATCGATCCTGTGTCGGTGTTTTTCTCGATCTGGCTAAAGCATTCGACACGGTATCGATTCCCATCCTGCTTAAGAAACTAAGTGCTCTTGGTATTCGTGGTCTAGCTTTAAACTGGTTTTCCAGCTATTTGTCGGATAGAAAGCAATGTGTCCGAATAGGCGATCAAGCAAGCGATCTTAGATCTGTAGATTTTGGCATTCCTCAGGGTAGCATTTTGGGGCCGACACTTTTTATTTCATACATTAATGACATTATGTCAATTGAACTCGAAAATAGTGAAGTTGTATGTTATGCTGACGATACAGCCATAATATTTTATGGTAAATCTTGGCACGACACCTACCTTTCGGCTGTCTCCGGGTTGCATAAATTACAAACATGGTTAAATTACAACATCTTAACATTGAACACCTCAAAAACGCAGTTCATTTGTTTTCATAAAACTGCAGCGTCTGAACCGCCGCCGTCACTTTTCAATAGCCTTAAAGTACATAATAACAACTGTAGTTTTGGCTCCGTGAGCTCTCCTAATTGTAACTGTGACCAGATAAATAGGGTCGGCTCCCTTAAATATTTGGGCATCATAATAGATGAGAACCTCAACTTCAAAAGTCATATATCAGTGACATCAGCAAGGGTCCGTAAGCTGATACACACAATGAGACTATTGAGAGATTCTACTGATGGCAGCATTTTAAAGTCAGTCTACCTTGCACTATGTCAGTCCGTACTTAGCTATTGCATACTGGCGTGGGGTGGCATAGCCTCCTCTACGTTGCTAGTGCTGGAAAGGGCCCAGAGGGCAGTTTTGAAGATAGCTATGGGTAAACCAAGGCGTTATCATACGTCAGATCTCTTTAGAGAAGCCCAAGTTTTAAGTGTCCGTAGATTGTATCTTCTGAGGGTGTTTACATTTATGCACAGGGAAGCTTCGAAACTGCCGACATTTGATACTTTAATAAATAAAAGAGTATTTAAGATCCCCACAACCTTGGTTAAAACATCTTTCGCTCATCATTTCAGACTGTTCCTATTCCCACGCATACGAGGCTAAAACAAAAATGATGAACTATTTATTGACTTGGGACTATGAGGAAACAGAAGAAATATTGGTGACTCTTAAATAGGTGTTAAAACGGTAGTGCACAGCAATGACGCCAGCCCTGCCATCTGATCCCAATACACACACACACACACACACACACACACACACACACACACACACACACACACACACACACACACACACACACACACACACACACTCACACTCATACACACACACTCACACTCATACACACTCACCCTCAATTACACGCGCGCTCCTTTAAATTAGAATATGCTTGTTATGTCTTTAATTTTTCATAATTTTAAGTCGTATTTTTTTTTCCTTTGCTACGCACAAATGTTTTACGTAATTTCGACAAATAGCCACTTTGTTCTATTGTAAAATCTTTTGTTTGACCTCCACGATACAGGCCATGCCTAGTGTGGGATTCACAGAACTTTTTTGTATTTTGGCTAAGTGTTTCTGGTAAATAAATAAATTTATTATTTATTATTATATTATTATTAACTAATAAAATAGTTTAATTTACATTTTTCTACATATTTTTATGTTTAAAACACTTAAATCTCTTATACAAATCTATCATTTTTCACTATTCTAAGCGAATTTATACATAAAAATAACACAGAATTCACCTATTCTGCTTATACAGTCATCCTGAAACATTTATGACTCAATTTTACATAAACTGTAGAAATTTGCAAATAATTAAATTTCCATTTATTAGGCCTCCTATATTACAAATCAGCGCGCGGTTATTAACTCGCGCTATGTGAACAACCAATTTTTATACGACTCTCGTCAACTCAGTAGGAGGCTAGTGAAATCCTTGATCAGATAGCACCTATCTCTGTTCATTTTGAAACACCAAGATTCACAAACATTATCCTTATCAGTTATCATGTTTCTTATCTGATAACAAAAACAAAATTATTTTCATGTATTTAACATCGAAAATAAGCATTTATTTTTATACAATATTTGCATTTATTTTACACAGATAATTATTACGTAATACACAACTTTACATTAATCTCAAAAAGGCAAAAAGTGATCGTTGCGATCGGGGAATGAACCCTGGTTTCTAAACATTATCTTAATATTTCTCTAAATTGTTAAGAAAACAACAAAAAGGTAATTCAACCGGAGAAACGAACCCGGAATCATAAATTATGTCTTGAAAATTCCCTCTATGAATTTACTAAGAAAAAGATTGCTAAGAAAACGACAAAAAGTAGTTCGACCTGGGAATCGAACCCGGGACTTTAAATTATTAATTCGATATTTCGAAATAGTATTTATAGGCGCGTCGCCAACACATCATTTTCTTTCTTTACGCGGAATTAAGCAAATTAATTTATAACAACCCCATTATAATGGATTTCCGCAAAGTAAAGCCTGATTCTATCAATTATATTCTTAATAATTTATATTGATGTCGGTTGTACAAAATCTTTAATATTTAATTATTGTTTTTTCATGTAGTCCAGACTAGAATTACATATAAAAACATATATAAAGAAATCTGACCACATATATTTCTAGTTTTATTTTTGATATTTAATATGTTAATATTGGAAATAGTTTGGCTAAAAACGTTCGGAGTCCATCTTTTGATTTTGAAAACATGTTTTCTAACCTTCATTTTTTCTCTCTACTTCATTGATTCGTCAATGCTTCGCGCGGTCTCTCGCTATCTTGGAAGTTTTTGTTTTATTGGTTATTATTATATTTTCTGACTCAGCTATTACTCTTGGATTGTTTCTGCTATGTTCGTTGGCCTTGACTTGCTAATTCCGGACTTTGATTATGCATTACGTGATTTTGGTGTTATCCCGAGAACTAGACAAC